TTGTCCTCGCTTTCTATCATTCCTTACGATATAATTGTATACATTATTTTTTTACTTTACTTTTTTTTCTCTCGCATGTTATCTAAATTAAAAAATGTTTTAAGTCAAATATAATAGGTATAGCTTATTAACATTTTTCTGTTGATACTTTATCACTTACCTTTCCTCCATCTCTCATTATTTTTTTTTTTACTCTATTTTGTTTCTTTTTCACTCACCTTTACACTTGAGAAGTCGAAGTACCCTTTCTACTCCTTCAAAAGTTGTCTTAAACTATACTTTCATAATCCTCTTTTTGGTTCTCTCTCTCTCTCTCTCTCTCTCTCTCTCTCTCTCTCTCTATTTTTCTCCTCTTGATAAGAGAAATTTGGTATTAACAAAACGTCAATACAAAATTTATCACCTTTTCTTATTGTAGTTGATAGGTTGAATTCTTATATATAATATTATGTAAATTAGGCTTCATCCTATTAATATTTAAATGGGATTTAATATGATTTTACTTGATATTATATGATTTCTATTATTTGTGTAGGATAGAACTTAACTTTTAAATATCATAAATTTGAAACTAAATCACAATGTTTCATAAAATCGAAGGATATACATAAATTGATGAGACTGAGGGCCAAATCATAAAATTATTAAATCTAAGAACTAAAGTGCAAAAAATCTTGAACGTTGAGGACCAACAATGTAGTTTTAGCATTAAGAAAAAACGAATGGACGTATAAATCGGTGGTAAAGGTGTCGGTACCTCCCTCATCCTTTTTTCCTTTTTATTTGTTTTTCTATTTATATAATAGGAAATAAATTATAACCGTAATCATTTATAATTGGAAAGACATTAAAGAAAGATTAAGTTAGCTCTTATAATAAGAAAATTTAAATAAATTAATAAGAAATCAAATTCTATTAAATTTGGATTGTAATGTTTAATATATGTGAAAATATTATAATTTTAATATCATATAGTATTATAAATTTACAACATGATTTCTCATTATATAATTAGTTCTTTCATTTAAAAGTCCTCTTGTATTATTTTATGTATCTGTTTGTTTAATACTACATCATAATTCATTTAATTAATGTTATATAGAATTATGAGTTTATAATTCTATGTGACATTAGAATTACATGAAATTATAATTATAGTATTATTATTAATATACGTTATATTTGAACTACACTTTATTAGGTATTTTTTAAAAAAATCTATGATTTTTTTAAAACCTATTGAGTATTTATTAATAATTTTTTTTAATATAACAGATATTTATTTAATTTTTTTTTTAAAAAAATTTTGTTATTAGAGTAATTTTATGTATGGTTAAGATTACTATTTTAAAATGCATTACAGACTAAAATCATAAATTTCTATTTCCAATACATTCCACTTTATCTTTGCTTCTCTCCTTCTGCATGTAACTATTTTAAAATGCACTACAGATTCAAATCATGAATTTCTTTTCCCAATACGTTCCACTTTATCTTTGCTTCTCTCCTTCTGCATGTAACCAAAGCCACATACATCCTCTGTTCAAACATACGGTGCTGGTCAACTGAAAGAACAATATAAAATTCCTTGTTCACACACGCATCCCCTCATAGAAATGCTGCTCCTATAAATCCTATCCAGAGCAATTGTGATTAATTAGCATAGCAGCAACAAATGAAAATGGTGGTGGCACAAATTAGAGGTGGCCAAGGTGGCGTTGGGTGGAAGGAGATGAGGGGATTTGGCCTCCGGGTGATAACCGGGCGGTGGTTCATGGCCTTCACTTCGCTACTAATCCAGGCGGTGGCCGGAGCAACATACATGTTTGGTTTGTACTCCACTGACATTAAAACATCATTGGGGTATGACCAAACTACCCTCAATTTGTTGAGCTTCTCCAAGGACTTCGGAGGAAGTGTTGGGATCATTTCGGGACTCATCAACGAAGTCACGCCGCCGTGGGTGGTTCTCTCCATTGGAGCAATCATGAACTTCTTCGGCTACTTCATGATGTGGCTCGCAGTGACTGGCAGCATTTCGAAGCCGCCGGTATGGCAGATGTGCATGTACATATTCATCGGTGCAAATTCTCAATCCTTCGCCAATACAGGCGCTCTTGTCACCAGCGTCAAGAACTTCCCGGAAAGCAGAGGAAGCGTGTTGGGGCTGTTAAAGGGGTACGTCGGCCTCAGCGGCGCAATCTTGACTCAGTTGTACCGTGCCTTCTACGGGGACAATTCAAAAGCTCTGATTTTGTTCATTGCCTGGCTTCCGGCCGCGGTGTCCATCATTTTCCTCAGGACGATTCGGATAATTAAGACCGTCCGGCAGGAAAATGAGCTCAAAGTTTTCTATCACCTCCTCTACGTTTCTCTGGGTCTCGCCGGAGTTCTCATGGCCCTGATTATAATACAGAACAGGCTGAATTTTATGAGAATTGAGAACTCCATAAGCGCTTCCGTTGTCGCCGTTCTGTTGTTCTCGCCGGTTGCTGTAGTCGTCAGAGAAGAATTCAACCTCATGAAAAACAAAAGACAAGCCCTGAATGATCTTCCTCAACTCAAAGTAGTGACTGAAAAATCACCGCCTGCGGAGTTACGCGCGGCAACAGAGGCAGCGACGCCTCAAACAGAGAAGCACGTTTCCTGTTTGGAAAACGTTTTTAAGCCGCCAAACAGAGGCGAGGACTACACAATCTTACAAGCGCTTTTCAGCATCGACATGTTGATTCTGTTCGCCGTGACAACCTGCGGTGTCGGCGGAACACTTACAGCAATCGACAATTTGGGTCAGATCGCAGCATCTCAAGGCTACCCAAGGCACGCCACTACAACCTTCGTCTCCCTCGTTAGCATATGGAACTACCTCGGACGAGTAGTTTCTGGATTTTCGTCAGAAGTGTTACTAACAAAATACAAAATCCCCCGGCCCCTGCTTCTCACGATCGTGCTCCTCATCTCCTGCGTCGGCCACCTCTTAATCGCATTTGCAGTCCCAAATTCTCTGTATTTCGCCTCTGTGATCATGGGATTCTGCTTCGGAGCCCAGTGGCCGTTGGTGTTCGCCATTATTTCTGAGATCTTCGGACTCAAGTACTACTCTACTCTGTACAATTTCGGAGCAATTGCCAGTCCGGTCGGACTTTATATTCTAAACGTGGCGATAACCGGTAAATTATACGACGAAGAAGCTCGGAAGCAATTGGAAGCTTTGGGGCGTAATAGGAAAGAATGGGAGGACTTGACGTGCACCGGCGTGCAGTGTTACAGAACGGCGTTCATAATGATGACGGCCGTCTCAGTTTTCGGGTGCTTTGTTTCTTTGGTTCTGGTTCTCAGGACCAGGAAATTTTACAAAAGTGATATTTACAAGAAATTCAGGGAAGATGCTACAGCGGCAGAAATTGGCATGACTTCCGGTGGAAATGGCAGTGAAAGGGGAGTTCCGGCGGAGGAAGTTCAAACTAGAACTACTGCAGCTACTGCTGCCGCCACAACCACCATTGTTGACTAACGGAAAGTAGCTGCTCTTGGTTTGAACGGTTTAAGGATCTGCCACGATTGGAATGAGATCTTCATATGACTTCTAGTGTAAAAAAATAAATAAATAATGGAAATATATATAGTAGGTACTTTTTCTGTTATTAATTTTTAGTAGTTTTAATTTTTTTTAATTTTTTAAACGTATATTTTAAATAAAAATGATAATTAAATATTTTTATCAAATAAAAATATTTAAAAAGAATTCTATGAAAAATTTTTAATTATTATTTATATAAATTATAAAAAATATATTTTTATCATAAATATATATAAAAATGTAAAAATTTACATTAATTTTAATATTAATTC